AACATAATAAATACAATAAACATAATAAATACAATAAACATAATAAAGCCAAGAAGCCTCTGAGTTGTGATGGAGCTGGATCACAACAAGTCCTGTGGGTCAGACCTGGTCCCTGCTGAACATCTAAAATATGACGAGCAGGAAACTGTTCCTCTGCTCGTCATGTTTTACAGTTTTCTGATTCATGGAGTGTTACCTCACAAATTATTGTCTGTCATTTTAGTTCCTGTTGTTGCCCACCCCGTTCCAACTTAATAAGTTATCATTAAATTTGAACAAAAAAAACCTACATGATATTTAGATTCAGAGATTCAGAAAGATTTATTTGTCATACACATCACACGTGGTACATGAGGTCCTCTGGACCAGATTTAACTTCCTGGACAGAGAGGAACGATGGTTTGAGAGAGGAGTAAAGGAGGCCATCTTTGTGAAAAGAAACCGTCCATCATTAAACAGGGGTGGAGCCTCCAGGTTCAACTGTCCCCCTCTTACAATGCTGTGATTGCTAGTATCACTCAGCCCTCTGTGAGTAGTAAACAGCCATCAGGTGCTAATGATCTATTGTTAGGCTGATGGTCCTTCTTGAGCATGTGATCAGCTGGTTTTGGTTGTCAGCAGCAAACTGGTTGATCCACTCTGAGAAGGTGCTATTTAAGAGACTGAGCTGAATACAGCTCCTCAGACTGAGGAAGTCCTCAGGATGAGAGACGAAACGTTTCTACATTTTTTGTTGATTTGCTTTGTTTTGTTTTTTTGAATGTCCAGAGGACCAGATTTAACTTTTTTAGAGTTTGTTTACACGAGTTACAAAAAACACAACTTCCTGTAAACTCATTTACAAAGTAAAATATTTATTAAAAAGAAGATTTTTTACATTGATTTGATGATTAATCTTTATTTCAACAAAATCATAAATTATTGAAATCCAGTGTCAAAAACACGCAGCATTTATTTGTAATAAACATAAATATCAATTAAATATAAAATTATACTCTATTACAAATAAATTATATAAATAAATAAAAATGTATAAATTATAAAAATAAAACGTGTTTGTTTATTCCTGATCAGAATCGTTAATTATCTCACGTCAATAATCTAATTACCAGTTTTATAAAAATACAACCAAATCTTTACAGAACCAGACGCTGGACTGGACCTTGAACATGTGTTTGGTTTCATGTGTTCTGTGAGGTCCAGTGAGGTCTTCTCGAGCTCCAGGTTCTGCTGCTGTCTGACCGGACTGGTTCTGGCCGGGTCCAGTTCACCTGCAGGTCTGGCATGAAGCAGGAGGCTCCTGAGCCTGTAGCGCCCCCTGCAGGTTTGATGAAGTTTGAACATTTCGTGCAGAGTTCATGTTTTTAATTTGAACTCAGTTTGTTGTGCTGTCAATCAAACCGTGGGTCATCGACGAGCAGGAAGATTCAAACTGTTTTCAGGAAATATTAATCAGCTGTAACACAGGAAACTGGATTCAAGATGGCCGCCAGAGCCAACCGCTCCAGCTGAGTCAGATCTGCAGACCATCTGATGTGTGGAGCTAGAAGAAAGGGTCAGCTCATCCACGAGGACCTGAGGAGGTCCAGGCTGGACTCCAGGGACTCCACAGGTGGACAGAGACCCGGCTCAGTCTCAGGTTGGACCCACTCAGAACATGCAGGAGTAAAAGGAGGGGGGGGGGGGTCCTGGACCCCACAAGCATTCTACCTTCAGCCCCTCTGTTCAGCAGCATCACACCAGGGTCAAAACAGCAACAATACTAAACAACAACAACACCGTAAACAACAACACTGAAACAACAACAACAACACTGTAAGCAACACTGTAAACAACAACAACACTTTAAACAGCAACAACACTGTAA